TCCGAGATAACTTATGTAAAGCTAACAAAGTACAAAAACTAGTAAACGACTAACCTCATGAGATGCCTATGGACATCAAACATAACAATGAGGACATCAAACAGGTCAACAGAAGTCCAAGCATTTTGCACACGAGCCTTGATGTCTTTGTAACCATATCCGCTTTTCTTCAGCATCAGACCCGGAGTATCGAAGAAACACTGCAAGGTTCACAAATATCAAATATTCAATCTACGAATGGCTGATCTCCACAACTAACCATAACGAGTAGTTTACATATGCAACAGATATATAAGGGAAAACTTACGACTTGTGTATCTCCTTTTGTCAATACTCCTAACACTTCATGTGTCGTCGTGTTAGTCTTCCGTGAAGCAGCAGCAACCTTTGTTCCAACCTACACTTGGACATAACGAAACACTAAGCATAACTCTCATCAAGATGCAATAAACAAAGATACACAATCACTTCAAAAATTGCAACTTTAGGACTAATCAAGAGTCATAGCAGCACTACATAAACATATACGCAATGTCTCAATTGATTCTCAAAGACCAAATCACAGAAATGTGAAATTAAGGAAATGAGCCAACCATGAAATTAGTCAGCGAAGATTTTCCTGCATTAGGTGGACCGATGATGCCGACATTAAGCGACTTTTGATCTTCTTCTCTAACTTCACCTTCACCAAGTTCTTCATCTGGTGACTCTAACGCAGCCTCTAAGAGAGCCTTAGCGAGAATCCTTGACCTATCAACACTATCCTCATCATCTTCAGAACTCTCTTCTTCTGCAACTTTCACTTTACCTTTCTCTGTCAAGTTTCCAAAGAAGGCTTTGTTTACTCTTTCTCTGTACCCTTTATCCCAAGTTGCTTCCTTGGGCTTCTTCACGGAATCTACATTGGAATCGTCGATTGGGTATTGACTACTATCGAAAACAGAGTCGCTGCTTGATCCGTCTTCGTTGATGGAAGTGGGTTCGTCTAGATTCGGCTGCGCTGAGTAAAATCGGCGGAGAAAGTTTTGTGCTTGATGGGGATTACGAGGTGTTGTCGTCGTCGTCGTTCGTGAGATGGAAATTAGTATACGTAGAGATCTAAAAGCTTTCATTTTTGTAACAATGGCGAAGTAGCGATCTCGGAGAAGTACAGATTTGAACGAAATGTAACAGAAGAGGCTTCCGAGGGTTTTAGAGGTTTTGATGTTTTGGGGAAGTGGTGACAAAGTAACTCAATATTACAGATAGGCCCCTCACTTTTTGACAAATCCAACGTAGTCCCTAACTTTGTATTCGATATAATTACTACTAGCAAAGTAGCAATACAACAAAAATTATCAATTGGAGTTTGAGTATACAGTTAATGGAAGGAATATTAGTCAATTTTGTTTTGGCAAAATATTGAACAACATGGTGCAAACATTTTGGGTGAATCTGTATAATATAATACTTTGATCAATTCAGAAGAAAAGGAGACAAAGTTCTTCCTCCAAGTCTCCAACGACCAAAAAAAAAAAGGACTAAACTTCTGAGAAAAAACATCTCTGAGATCCCTAAAACAATGTAATGGTAAACTAACTCACCTGGCTAAAGAATACAACAGATGGAAAGTTAATAACTTAAAATCAGATCATAAATTCAGTATCTGAACAAAAGTGAGTGAAGACTTGTTGTTGTAACAAAGCCTTCATCCATATCGCCTTTTCTTTGACGCTGGTTTGGTTTGGTGCCAAATTCTAAAACGCCATCCGCCCAGCAAGCCTACTCTCTGAGATTCGTCTGTCTATTGCTGCATTTATCGAGTTCATCTGCAAACCAAAAGAAACAAACTTGGTGTTGAGTTAAGAAGTTGGATGCTTTATTTTGAAAGAGTTAAGTGCGTATTTGTTTTGGTTCCCCAAGGCAGTGAGATTGTGCAAAGGTACCAAACTTTGCAGAGTTAAGAATATAAAAAGAGCTGACCTGGGTTTGAAACCAAACCTGTAGAGTATGATCTTGTGGAACCAATCACCACATTTTTAATACAATACAATAGACAGGAAATATAATGAAAAACAAACAGATACAAACGCTATGTTTCTCACTACCTACTATTGCAAGCTACAAATGATACCTTTCGAACATTGATTCAAAATGCTCAAGTTTCTTGCCTAAGTCCTTCTTATCATATTCTAAGGGAAGAAATTATAAACTGAATAATACGGTGGTACCTCTTAGCACAGAAACAATAGGATCTGGAACAGAAATGTATAAATAAAGCCTACCGAATGGGTTAGACTTGCAAAAGCAAACTCTTCTTAACTTTAAAAAGGGTAAATCAGAACTTACCTGGCTGGTTTCATCGTGCACTTTGTATTTTGGTAAGGACATTCTTCTTTCCTCCTGCAGATACAGACACATTGCGTCAGATTGGAAAACCAAATGGTTCATTACTCGAAACTTTTCCAATTGTTACCATTCCAACATGATGCATAAGAAATTAGGAATAAACTAACCATAGACATCGCTTCATCATCCCATACAAGATAGACCTCATTAGGCTGATTGCTAGGAGCTTTGTTTGCAATTACAGGAGGTGGACCAATTGAAGGACCGCTAGTGTTTGGGCCAGAGGCATAAGAATGAGCATTAGTCCCACCTACGGCAACAAAACATGAAAAAGATATTACAATTTGATACGAAACAGCTAAACCAAATGTAAGTCAATGATTCTACGAACTTGGGATTGAACCTGGAATAGAATTGTTAGGCGGATAAGCATTTGCTGATCCTAAAGCATCTGCATGAGATGGTTGCTGAGCCCCACCAACAGGCAGAGGAGCAGAAAATGGTGGAGCTTGAGAAGGAATGCTGTTATTCACAACAGGGAACAGAGGTTGAGGAACTGGCATTGCAGGTGATGATGTAGGAATTCCAGGAGGAGTTACTCCAGTGACTGGTGATGGTTGTATGGCAGGAGCTGAGGTTGGAGTTGGAGTCATCCCCATATTTTGAACAGGAAAAAGTGGTTGTGGTCGATACCCTAAATGGGCAGCTGGAGGTACAGAAAGAGCTGGATTTTGAGGATACCATTGTTGCGGACGAGGAGGTGGCATTTGCCATACAGGAGCAGGATGACGCATAGGAGGACCCGGATAATACCTGCTAACACGAAATATTTTATCATGGTCAATAGCCATACATATTACAATATCTAAGATCATGAACTATTTCAAAAAACTGTTTACTACAGGTGTTATTGTGGTCTTGAAGAGGAGCAAAAGAATGGTTCTAGGACAAAGTTCTATCCTGAAAAATCACGAGAACAAGCTAGGGAAACTAAGAACCTTATGGGTCATAGTTGGTTAAGTGCAACAATATCTTAGATAACGATCTATTTCAAAAAATGTTTACTACGGGTGTTATAGTGGTCTTATAGAAGAATAAAAGTAGAAAAGTTCTAGGACAGAGACAAACTAAAGAAACCAAGAACCTTTTGCATCAAGAGAACTAAAAGAAAAAAAGTTCCCCATCATTTAGCATGGATCGGATTTTTAAAAACAGAGACAACATCTAAGAATTCAACAAGTAACGGCCATAGAGAGAGTATAGTATAATTAGTACATACATTGGTCGTGCAGGTACAGCACCAGGTACTTGTTGAGGCGGATATACCATTCCATATGGTCTAGGAACTACACCACCAAGAGGGGCAGAAGGAATCTCAACTTTTGCAACTTTGGCTGGAGGCTCATCCTCTGCAGAAAACATGACTTCAGTTCAAAAGGTACCATATGAAACAAGCAAACATAACAATAATATATAATAACTTTGATAAGGTAAAAAGCCGCATGCAAAATCAAAACGAATTCATGACCACTAGATGCAATAGATCTACAACACTTGATGAAGAGACATACAAATTTATCGCCTTACTTCTCTAAATCAATTGCTCATAATCTAAACAGTACTCTCACTATCTCAAATGCATACCTTCTTCTCCATAATGAGCAGTCAAGACATGGGGTGGAATTCCTTGCATTCCATATATTTCAATATCAGTTGAATCTCGACCGTCTTTAGCATTAGGAACCCTGGTGTGAAAATTGTAGATAATTTCAAAGTTAGTAGTGTCATGGAATCAAATTACAAATTCAACAGGCAAAAGCAAAAGACTGTTTCTTTACAAAAATTTCAAACGGAAATTAGGGTTTATGACCAGACATATACAAAATTAACCAAACCCATTCAAGAGCTATAAAAAAAAAAAACGATTCAAATTCCCTAATTTTCCAGCAAACATGCACAATCAACCGATTCAAATCACAACACAACAGTCACAATTAGGGCAATCTAACAGAAATCAAAAGACAATCACACAACTAGAGCAAAAAAAAAATCAGAACTTGAACAAAGATCATAGAGGCAACAACCCTAATATTCCAAATCAACCTAACACAACAAAAAGAGCCATAAGGGAAAATGGTAAAAGAAAAGGCACATACTTTGTAACATTCTCTTTATGAACCTGAAGAACATGAATCACCATGCCACTAGCTGTAGAAAGCTTCTTATGACAGACATGACACTTAAAGTGTTTAGCTTTCTGATGCTGCACAAGAATCTTCTCATCATCAAACTCTCTATCGCAGTAATAACACCACACCTTCTCCGTAGCTCTCTTCTTCTTCTTACCCATCACTAAACCTTTCTCCTATGTATTGATTTCAAGATTTGATCTCAAAATTGAAATCTCGAATCTCTCAAAAGTCTCGTTCTTTGTCTCCTTCCTCCGCTCGCTAGGGTTTCTAATTGGTACAAAGCGTTTTCTCGATTTCTTCTACGATCTTCAGATTCTCTGTTTTTTATTTATTTTTACTTTATCTAATGGTTACTCTCTTGTATTTATAAGAAAAGGTACTTTCTTGTGTAATATTTCGTAAAGAACCCATAACTCTTGCTTAATTGTATATTTTTCCAAAATGTTTAGTAAGTTACATATTATTCCACTTCTGGTCCTCGTTAGGATGGCCGAGTGGTCTAAGGCGTCAGACTCAAGTTCTGGTCCTCGTAAGAGGGCGTGGGTTCTCAAACCCCACTTCTGACATAATTTTTTATTTTTTCAAGAGTTAATTTTCTTTGTCCAGTGAAATTTCAAACTAACTTAAAATAAACGTACTGTGTGAAAAAACAGAAGAAGATTAACCAACAAAGTAAGTAATCTCTATTACAAAGAAACTTTGACCAGAAAAAAAGAATCCCTATAACAGATAAGAAGAAGAGACGAAAAGAGCTAAGAATTACATAACTAATAGAAAAGATTATCAATAGAGAAAAAAACAGAAGAAGAATAACAAAAAAAAGTAACTTGTCTCTATTACAAAGAAACTTTGACCAGAAAGAAAAAAAAAAAGCAATTCCTATAACAAATAAGAAGAAGAGACGATAAAAGCTAAGAATTAGATAACTATTAGAAAAGATTATAAATAGAGGATAGCTATTCATTATTTCTTAAGTACATGAAACACTTGCAACAACAAAAACGTTAAAGATATGGGTGCTAAATGGAATTCAATGATTATAATGGTGTTTGTGGTGACAATGGTAATAGCAATGGAAAATGTCAATGGAGAGACGAAAGCTCAATGCCATGAAGATTGCATTCTAGGTTGTGCCACCACAGGAAGAATTCTGATCACGTGCCTTCAGAATTGTTACCGTCGATGTCCCGGCAAATCTCGTCGTACATTAGGTAACCATTTTTCAGAAGGTAAAAAAAAAAAACAATCTAACAATTTTGGAAATATGTCAAAGAAAATTTATTTTAATGATTGTTAAGATTTTTACTAACTATATAAAACATATTCCCCTTTGTATCAATAAATTTGAAGTAAGTTTGACTAGTGTAATAATAATAGAAGATTAACAATGGAATGTTCAAATGATTGAACGGTATGCTAATGTTTCGAAAATGTGGTGAAAAATAAAATAGCAACATAACGTTTTGAACGAGTGAAATTTTGAGATATTTTTCGGTAATAAAGTGTTTGAAATCTTAGAAATATCATTGTCAATGTTTAGGTATACATATAGTCCTGAAAATATTATTTTTCAAATTAAATTCAAGAGATTATTTGGAAAGACTAAAGGTTAAAATAATCGATGGTTCTGATTTGTATAGTGGAAGCGCAGACATAGAAGAGACGATGAAGTCATGAATCAGTGTTGGACTCTTGAGACTTTTAAACTAGCTCTTCTTCTACTTCTGTATCCTTATGTAATATGATCATTGTAAGTTTGTAACACTATAAAATAAAATAAAATAAAAATTGTCCCATGTTATAAATTTCTCTCGACCGTAAATATGTCTCTGTTTAACAGTTTAAGACTCCTCTTAGATTCGAATCTCATATTCCATAATTTTTGAAGTGACATGTAGCGGCTTATTGATTTTATTGATTCATATTTTTGACTTTAGTTATTTCAAAGTGTGATACCTTGTGGATAAAGCAAACCCATATGACCATATTTACATGAGACAAAAGTGAAACCATCTATGTTTCAGCTTCAAGAGAAAAACACTTTGTTTAAATTTATACATTTAAGATAAAACTGCCACTACTACGTTTCTCCTAGTGAAGCAAAATTGGCTCTCACTTGTTTTGCCGTTTCTCTGTGCTTAAATCCGAAGCTTTTACATTTTTCTACAACTTGTGCAATGTTTGTTTAATTGTACATTTTAGCTAATGGTTACTCTCCTGTGTTTATAAGAAAAAGTACTTTCTTGTGTAATATTTCGTAAAGAACCCAAAACTCTTGCTTAATTGTGTATTTTTCCAAAATGTTTAGTAAGTTACATAATCATATTATTCCACTTCTGGTCCTCGTTAGGATGGCCGAGAAGTCTAAGATTATCTACAATGGTTACCTATTTATAACACCCACTTTTTCACTTTTAACACTTCACATCATTTTCTCTTTCTTCCACATCATTATTCAACACCTACATAATTTTTAATCTTACAATAGTTTTGTTTAATAAAATTACAACACCTTACCCCACCATTTTTATTTCATATTTTAACCTATACATTATTTTTGGGTCTAAAAATGGTTTTTTCTGTATTTAAATCAAATGAAAATAGTCTTTATTTATAGAGAATGAAAATTTATAAAATTTTATATAAATTTTATATATTTATATATATATATATTATGAAATAATTGAAGTTATATAATTAAGATGAAACAAAAAAATTAGAAATCAAAGCAATCAATCAAAATATAACACTTGTCACACTTATCTTCTCCCTTCTACTTTTACGGATGTTAAAATTTATTAACACTAAATTTGCCAAATCAGTTACTTTTCTATTACAACATACCATTGTAGTGGAATTTTTTTTTTCACCAGTTGTAAAATGGTTTACAACAAACCATTGTAACTAGTCTAAGGCGCTAGAGTCAAGTTCTGGTCCTCGTAAGAGGGCGTGGGTTCAAACCCCACTTCTGACATAATTTTTTTATTCTTTCAAGAGTTAATTTTTTTGTTCAGTGAAATCTCAAATTAACTTACAATAGACATACTGTGTGAAAAAACAGAAGAAGATTAACCAACAAAGTAACTAATCTCTATTACAAAGAAACTTTGACCAGAAAAAGGAATCCCTATAACAGATAAGAAGAAGAGACGATAAGAGCTAAGAATTACTTAATTATTAGAAAATATTATAAATAGAGAAAAAAACAGAAGAAGAATAACCAAAAAAAGTAACTAGTCTCTATTACAAAGAAACTTTGACCAGAAAGAAAAAAAGAGCAATTCCTATAACAAATAAGAAGAAGAGACGATAAGAGCTAAGAATTAGATAACTATTAGAAAAAGATTATAAATAGAGGATAGCTATTCATTATTTCTTAAGTACATGAAACACTTGCAACAACAAAAAAGTTAAAGATATGGGTGCTAAATGGAATTCAATGATTATAATGGTGTTGGTGGTGACAATGGTTATAGCAATGGAAAATGTCAATGGAGAGACGAGAGCTCAATGCCATGAAGATTGCATTACAGGTTGTGCCACCACAGGAACAATTCCGATCAAGTGCCTTCAGAATTGTTACCGTCGATGTCCCGGCGGCAAACCTCGTCGTACATTAGGTCACCATTTTTCAGAAGGTAAAAAAAAAAACAATCTAACAATTTTGGAAATATGTCAAAGAAAATCTATTTTAATGATTATTGAGATTTTGACTAACTATATAAAATATATTCCCCTTTGTATCAATAAATTTGAAGTAAGTTTGACTAGTGTAATAATAATAGATAACAATGGAATGTTCAAATGATTGAACGGTATACTAATGTTTCGAAAATGTGGTGAAAACATAAATTAGCAACATAGCGTTTTGAAACAGTGAAAAATTGAGATACCATTCGTTAATAAAGTGTTTTAAATCTCAGTAATATCATTGTCACTGTTTATTTTGTTTGATAAAGAATTGTGATGTTTGTGAATATGAATTTATCATAATTTTTTTCTTTTCTATTTAAAACAACATAATGTAGGTATACATATAGTCCTCAAAATATTATTTTTGAAAATAAACTCAAGAGATTATTTGGAAAGACTAAAGATTAAAATAATCGATGGTTCTAATTTGTATAGTGGAAGCGCAGACATAGAAGAGACGATGAAGTCATGAATCAGTGTTGGACTCTTGGGACTTTTAAACTAGCTCTTCTTCTACTTCTTTATCCTTATGTAATATAATCATTGTAAGTTTGTAACGCTATTAAATAAAATAAAATAAAATTTGTCCCATGTTATAAATTTCTCTCGAACTGTAAATGTGTCTCTGTTTAACAGTTTAAGACTCCTCTTAGATTCGAATCTCATATTTCATAATTTTGGAAGTGACATGTAGCGGCTTATTGATTTTCTTGATTCATATTTTTGACTTTAGTTATTTCAAAGTGTGATACCTTGTGGATAAAGCAAAATCCATATGACCATATGTACATGAGACAAAAGTGAAACCATCTATGTTTCAGCTCTAAGAGAAAAACACTTTGTTCCAATTTATACACTTAAGATAAAACTGCCACAACTTGTGCAATGTTGTTATGATTAAAGTTTAAACACATGAACTATAGATGGTTTAATTTGATTTCAACCCCTCGATGCAAACCAGATTTGGAGGCTCTTGTCATAGCGTCGATCATCAGTTGCTCTGATGAGGATAGATGGCTTGCTTATCAATGAATTTTATTAGACGAGCCGCTGGTTCGGCCTCTCTCCCCATGCCTTCTCCCATTTCGTTCGCACCAGATTGTGTATAATGTAGCTTGGAAAAAATAACGAGCAATAAAGCTCTCGACTTAATCATGCCATTGACCGGAGACGGAGATAATTAGTGCTTGCGAGTTCGTTAAGTATCTTGTTTTGTAGATGTTGTTGCATCAAGGGAGACATCCTACTTTTAATTTCAGCAATGTTCTCTAATTTTAATTAGATACCTCTATTATTAAACTTATGAAGTCGCAAGAAGGGCTAGTTTAACTATTTCATACTATAATTTATAATGTAGACTTTATCATTTACACAGTTGACTTGTATATATTTTTGGAAATTTTGTGAGAGTCAGAAAATGGCCGGCATTTGTTATTCTTTCTTTATAATTGATGTTCGGGTTTCTTTAAATAAATTAAAAAAGACTTTCTTTACCAAAGAAAGTAAGCGCATGAAATATAAGCAAATTACAGTATATTTTTTCTGAATGATGTAAAATTATCGCATTAATATGGTTTGTATTTTATAAGAAAGCTTACAAGCATTTCTTAAAGATATATTCCTAGAATAGTGTTATTTAATGGTAATTCAATTTGGTCATAAAGAAGCTAATTATCTTAATGTTTTGGAAATAAAAAGTCTTCGTCATATAGCAAACCCTTAAACAAAAATGTACTCATATAATAGTCGCATATGTCAAAACATTATAACGAAGACTATCAATTAACATTTGAAGATTAGTTTAACTGTCAGAAACAGACGACAACGTGTATACAAATACGTGACCATAATTGTTTAGATATCTTGAAACTGT